CGCTACTTTAGAAACTAATTTCACGTTAATGTATATGAACAATCACCTATGCATGAAATCAATGCGTGAAGTGCGTTCTGTTTTTTTTTTCACATCTGTACGCATTCAGAAGACCATACATGCCTCTGAAACCCAGTTTGAAATAATCAGTTCTTTATATTTATTTTCGGAGGCTTAGTGCTAGAGATCTATAATACGAAATGCACAGGTGGCCAACAAAAAAAAAAAGGCGTTATAGAAGTACGGAAATAGTCATGCTTGCGAATATCCGTCTCAATTGGTTGCTATGCTGCCTACGTATACAACAGCGTGAATAAAGCTGCCTTCCAATACCTAGTGATCGCAAAGGGATGGCTTTAACGGCGCATCTAGTCCCTTCAAGCACTTTGGACCAGATCTTCGAGGTAACTTTCACTGCTTAGAATAAGTTTCAGTTTTGGGTCAAAGGGCAACTGTCTAAAATTGCTTCCGTTTTCGGAGCTGCGGGTAGTGGTATACTTGGGAGAGTACACGGCGAGGTAAACAGGAGTAGTAAACAGAATGTGATATACAACTGGCGCAAAAGAAAAAGGTAAGCCATTCACAGCGTGAATTAGGACGACTGAAACGTTTGCCTGCAGCGAAACTGGAATGACGCCAGTAATGTCACAGGCGATGTTAGAGGCACGGTGTCACAGCGACGAGACCATAAATTGGATACGTGTGAAAAAGTGCGCAACGTCAAACTAGGTATATTAGTGATTGTTCTTCAGGTTTAGCGCCTTAAAAGCTGCAACATTACTATATAGACGCCGTAGAAGATTCCTCCGGAAATTCATGATTGCCTGGTGACTTTTAACGTGCGCGTAAACCTGAGTACACGGGCCTGAAGTAGTTCGCTTCCGTGGAAATTTATTACCGTGCCCCATAACCACTAGGCTAACCGTGGCTAGTTAGTCACGAATGAAGACAAACATAACGAAGTTATATCGTTATACACGAAGATTCTGTTAACTTAAACCAATAGAGGGCAGTGTAGAGGACATTGGTATCCAGAGACGAAAAAAGCGATATTCAGTCTCTGATTAAGCGTCGCAAAATCCTGCAACACATTGATAGATAAAATGTACATACTCGCAAAATCACTTTTTGGGAAAGCAATCAAAGGCTCTAAGATGTCTTCATGGACGGGCGCCCACTTAATATTAAAAAAAAAAAAAAACCGCTGGACAAAAGTTCACAAGGCGTCCCCCCCACCCATTTTTCACCGTTTAAGAGCGAATTACACGTGATCGCAATCACCGGAAAAATCTTCGAGAAGAATGCAATAAGCGAGAACATTAGTGATAATAAAGTGGACGGCAGAGGCATTATCCGAAAAACAAATAGCGCAATTCCTTTTTCCTCGGGGAGGTGGGTTCACTCAGTTCCCGTTTTCAATCTCGCGCTGTTTAAACGTCCGTTCATTTTTGTTGTGTTTTTACAACTATTCCGAAAATACTCGAGAGCCATATCAGACGGCTTATTTGTCGGCAGAGTCATGAAAACAGAGCAATAGAAAGGGGAAGAGAAGCAGACGAAGCGAAAGAGGGGTACGAAAGCGTAGTAAAGTACGCGGATGGATGAAAGCACGTAGAGAAGAAAAAAAAAAAGGGGGATTCGGAATCCGTGAGGGCGGTGGCTAAGCCCGTGGGAAAACGCCGTGCGTGCCGTATGGGCTTCAGTAACAGCCATCTTAGAGGATAGCTTCGTGTCCAAGAGCACGCACTTACGAGGAACCTAATGGAAGGAAATTTTCCTCCTCAAAGGTATCGTCGATGCGTTTTGGTAGCGAGCTGCTACCTCTTTCCACCGTACGAATCGCCATTACCTCCCCCGACTTGGGCACTCACTTGAACGTTGAATGTGCGTTACGCATGGAGAGGACGTAGAGGTTGCTAGAAAATATGAAGGGGGGAGGGGAGCTAAACTTTAGCTAGTTGGTGCGCGTCAGTGTAATCGTACGTTCTAGACTGCTGTGATGGGAAACAGAAAGTCAGTAAATTCTCATACAATGCTTTATCGCAACTGATCTTTCCACTAAAACTGCTTGCTTGTACTAAGGTACTAACAAGAAAATAGAGCCGAAAACAATGGAACAGAGTGTAACGGGGTATTTCTTTGTTTTCTGTCTGACGATGAAGACGGTAGTCCGTATTTCTGACCTAACTAAATTAAAGAAAAATTACGAGTAACTGAGAAATGAAAAAAAAGGTCTCATCATCAAGAGTTCACTGAAACGATGTAACGTCCTGATATCAAACCAGTCCAGTGGTAGCGCCGGTGAGTGAATGAACAAGTTTTATCATTTGTGAAACAATGTGTCTTATACATACAGTGAGAAGCGCAGATTTCGTTCCGTTCTCCCTCGCCCCTCTTAGATTCTTTATTGATATACAGCTTTTGTATAGAGTAGTAGTATAGCTTTCATAAAACCACTTGTGCTCCTTAAAAGTCTCATTAACTCTTATAATATGATCAGGAATACAATAGCTACTGAGCAGAATATGCAAATAGTTATTTATCATATCTTAAAACCATGATTAACGTGGTCCAAGCCACATTCCGAACCTCAAATCGCTTTCCACATGCACTGCATTTTCAATGGGATCTGCTTACCTCCTTGTGTCTGGTGACAACCAAGGCTGATGCACGTGTGATTCGAGCTGTTTCCGATCCTTCTCTTTCGGTACTAATGATAATAATGTTCACTTTTCGTATTATTAATAGAGAAAGCTGCGTGTAAAAACTGCCTCATCCCGTGGCAGTTGGCAAGAGCCCACAGGTACCCAACCACAAACAGTGTGCTGGTGTAATTAGTGTAAATAGTGGGCTGACCTAATCCTAAGGTCGTGAGTTGAGCCAGGCTGCGGCGCTCGCATTTCAGGGGAGGGGATGGGGCTCATGTACTGTGCCACGTCAGCGCTCGTTAAAGAACACCTTATGGTCAAAGTTTGTAGAGCCCTCCACTACGGCATCACTTACTCATAACCATATGGTGGTTTCGGGACATAAAACCTCAGGTATTACTACTTTGAAGAATTTGCTCGCGTTGAGAATGCATTATCCTATCACTGTAATCATTAAATTTGCTATCGATAATAAGGTCCATGTGCAACCCAATATTTTTCCCCTCTTTTATTATCGGCTGGAACGTAGCAACAGCCTCACATATTTTTTTTTTCGCAGGTCACATTCCTCACTGGATTAACAACACCATTCGCTCGAAGCACACTGCAAGTTCTAGATACCTTGGAGCCAGTCATTGCAAGCCTTCTTTACCATGATGGATGGCAATGCATGTACTTAATCTGAGACAGTCGAGGTTGACCCGTACGCTGTGACAGTGCACCGTTTTATGACTTTCTGGACATGCACCTTACACACTGCCGTGCATGCTAGCGTATCCCTTTACCCATTTTTTTCTTCTTCGTTATTTTCCTCGCTTTCCCTCTTTCCCGTGTAGAGTAGCGAACCGGACTCAACCTGGTTAACCTCCCTGCCTTTCCTTTTTTTTCTCTCTCTCTCCTTTTTCGTGCGATGCCCGGGTTTGCTCGGAATGTTGTCCGCAAGTGCAACGCTACCCGTTACAAGTACTCTCTGCAATTCTGATCGATAATGTCGATATGTATACGTACCTGCGTACGACACGTTATACATATAATCAAACGGTAGTTTTGATATGTTTGAACCCTCAAGAATCATTATTATTACACCTTGTGAATATCTTTAGGCCGGTTTCTATATCTATCTCATTTCGATGGCTGGAAAAGCGCTTCAGGCGCGTATGCTTAGATTTAGGCGCCCTTTAAAGGAACCTCAGTCAGTTGAAATTTCCAAAGCCTTCCACTGCAGCATCTCTCACGATGTTGTCGTAGTGTTGAAACGTTATACCACGAACAATTACTATCATTACTATTGTTATTGCACAAATCTCTAATTCCCGCGGCGTTTTTTTTTCTGTCACGTGTCTGTCATATGCATCCTCTTTTTACGCAGAGGATTAAATATAGCGCCATTACCTGGCCTTCAGTTCGTATATGTTGATAAACCAAGAACGTGATAACTGTCACGGCTGACTAACTGCTGTGAAAGTCTGCTTCATTATAGGAATGTAGCGACCCTACTTTCGCACGCAAGCTCTTATAGCTCTTATCGGAGTGCCGCTGAACTATACATCAGAGCGTAGGCTAGGCACGCGAAAACAGCAGGCGAGATGCTTACAATAATAACGCCCAGCCTGCAACATAAACGTTCATTCGTGCGCGCACATGGTTGTGCTACCTTGGCCATCGAAATATCAAGACCTAGTTTCGGCTGTCACTTGTAGCACATGCTATCCAAGCAACGTCACATTGAATGCACTAGGTATAGCACAAAACAACTTCCGCGCTCATCAACCACAATGACAGCAGCCGCAAGAGGCGATGACTTCAGGTTCATCGGTGGGGCGGTGTGCTCATCAAAAATCATTGAATATGTCTATATTAAAAAAAACACTCTAAACAGCCTAAGTCTTGTCAGATCATTGTATATTATGTCATTGTGATCCCGTGTTTTGCGATAGAGATGTTTCGTTCTCACATAGAGATAAACTAACACGCAAACTTAAGAAAGCCTTCCACTTCAATAGGTGTACAAACAAATGTATTAATCAACTTTCGGTGGCTCTAACAGGTAGGAAGTACAGTTTTTTTAAGTTCCGTTCAGGCATATCGTTTTATGCTTGCCCCTCACACGACCTGCACATGCGCTATGCTGGTTACAAGGTACTTATATGTTTTCTTGCTTTCAAAAATAAATTATTTGAGAGTTACGGATACATACAAACTCGCTCAGCTATCTTTTTCACAGCCTAACTCTTCTCTAGTATTGTCATTTCATTTGAGCTGTAAAGCCTGTCACGGGCATCACAAGGCATTTACCTAAAGCAACGGCCACTGGCGTCACCACGACTCGAAATAAATCATTGGTACACTCACCATGATGCTCTTGCGACCCAGGCGGCGAGAACTAGGCGTCGTGGTCAACTTTTTTCACGTCGTTGATGGACAGTGGAGGTCTCTTAGCACGTCGGGACGGATGGGTGGCGAAAAACAAAAACGGCGAACCAAACAAAAAAGAAACAAAAAAGGGCGAACAACCGTCAGCGACTCGTCAGCCAGTGAAGTTCGTCGTCCAGCGCAGGACAGAAAAAAAAATGTCCCCCTCGAAAACAACCCCCTTCGCTGTGATGTCGCAGTCCGTTTCACGGTCTCCGATGTGGCATCGGGTATTCCAAGTCCTCCGATGGCGCAATGAGAAGGGGGAACCGGTGCTTTTCTTCGGCGTCCTACAACACGCCGTACTCGATGCGCTGCGCTGCGGCCGTTGCTTGCCGAGCGTCGATTGACCGGCATCCGCCGAGGTCCACCTGTTTTTAAGAGGTGTCGTCTGCTCGCTTCCGCGCTCGGAACCGCGCATGCGCGGCCGGATTGACCCTCTCGCCCTCTATATCTTCTTACCTCCTCGCCCGTCTTTCCTCCTTGCCCTATTTTGTTCTCAACCTCTCCCTTACCACAGTGCTCCCACGCTCTCTTCGAGCGCCCCGTCCTTTCGCTTCGCCAGTGGCCTTTTTTTTTTTCTGCTCTCCTTTTCTCGCGAAAAGCTCGAAGCCCAATCGAAATTGCACGCACACCTTCCATAGATGAAGGCGTCCGACGCCGCCACCGACCCTTCTTAGCGAAAGAGAAGGGTGGCTCTTCGTGTCTCATCTCACGCTACCCCCCCTCCCTTGACGGAGGAGTTAGAAAATGCCCCGGCGAATATCGAGAAGTGCCACAGAGGAATGAGAACTCGTAATCAAACAAAGCAGTGGGAAGACCCCGATATTACCTTTAGCCTGCTCCTTTCACGCAAACTCGGTCGTTTCGAAATGAACCCTCAAATAAAGGGAAAACACACTTGTTCGATAAGAGAGAGAGAGGAAAAGGTTGCACATGTGGTGTTTCGAGGTGCGTGCGTATTGCCGCAGCGCAATTGTGCGGCTAGCTCATAGAAAGACGGGAGCGAGAAAGGACGCCTTTTTTTTTTTATTTCTTTTCGCTCGCGAGAAAGCATGCCCACAGATCGCTCCCCTGTTGGTTGTTGTTGTTGCTGCTGCTGCGTTTGTTTCGGCCATCGTTTCTGGTAACCTTCCCGATATCTTCTCCCTTCGTCGGTCGATCTTTCCTACGCAGGTATCTTTCCCTCATGTTCTTTTTTCTTCTTTTTTTTGAACCAGCCTCTCCCCTCCTCACCGTGCTCCTAGAAGTGCGTGCTTGCTTGTGTTGTCTGCCAGACTCGCGCATCGCTATTTCGTCCCAGTTCGATTCGGAGAGCAAAAAACGTGGCAGTGAGAGAGACTGGTTGACTTATCCCCCATCGGCGAAGGCACGCACCGAAGAGAAAGCGACACAGTCCCCTCGACGCAACAAACTTCAAAGAAATAAAACACACCGCGAAAACTCGGTATAGCGGGGAAAAGGCTGGCGGCGGCGGTTTCAGGTGGTATCGAAGTTGAACTGCGTTTCTGTTGTGTGTGCGCGTTTGTGGGTGAAAAGAGGGCGAAGGGTTTAAAGAACTGAGACAGATCGAAAGGTATACAAACGTGATGTCTGATGGTGTTGTTTCGGGAAGGTGGCAGGGAGAGTGGGTGCCTACATGGTTTGTTTGTTTGTTCGGAGGGGAGGGTATGTTTTGTGTCTTGTCTGTCGTATACACACGCTCAACGACCAGTTTGAGGCGGTGCTCCTCCACCGTTCTATAGCTGCAGTAATGGCAGCCGTTTCCCGTGTGGCCCCTGAGTTATCGTCCCGTGGAGAGAAAAGCTTTTCCATGCCGAAGATTTTGGAAGCAGTGAAAAAGGAGATGCGGAGTATAGAGGTAGAAAGGAAAGGAGCCTGTAGATAACCAAAAACACACACACACACAAAGGAAGGAAGAACGAGTGTCCTTAGTTTGGTGCGAGAGGTGTAGCAGCGAAAGTCGGGAAGGTGGTTTACCGAGACGGAATTGAATTCTAACTCATATTCTGTATAGCGCCAGGTGAAAAAAAAAAGAAAAAAGAATCACAGCGTATCCACGGAGTGAATGATGATTGGTGAGACGAAGCATTCGTCTGTCTTTCCGTGCTTTGGTCCGCCCATTCATTCTGACTTCCGTCCGTCCATGCGTCCGTCCGTGCGTCCATCCATGTGTCCGTCCATCCGTGAGACCGTCGGTGCACCCGTCCGTCCGTACGTCCGTTTTTCCGTCTGTCTGTCCGTTCATCCATCCATTCATCCATCCATCCATCCATCCATTCATTCATTCATCCATCCATCCATCCATCCATCCATCCATCCATCCATCCATCCATCCATCCATCCATCCATCCATCCATCCATCCATCCATCCATCCATCCATCCATCCATCCATCCATCCATCCATCCATCCATCCATCCAAGCGTCCGCCCTTATGTCTGTCTGTATTGCGTCCGTCTATCTGTATGTCCATTCGTCCGTCCGTTTATCTAGTAAACATTCCAAGTACAGACATCTCACATGTTTTAATCATGTATTCATCATATACAAGTGCCGCCATCCAGCGGACATTCTAAGGACCGCTCCTTCGGGTATGTGCCACCGGTGGCTATATACACCGTCGGAAAATGAACAGACTCACACCCTAAGGAGCTGCGCCCCTAAAATTTGAAGTGAGGTTAATGTAATGAAGAAAAATTCCATAAAACAGCGTGGAGAAAATCGGAGCTTCACCTACGCCAACGAGCTGTATTATTTCGAAGGCCATGAGGCAAAATATCGACAAGACTAAATGATTTAAAGAAAACAAAACGTTAAAATAACTACACAAATACAAAGCTACTACTCGTATATGTATACTATTTGCTCGTAGCTGCTGCTCGGGAGAAGAAACTATGCGAGAACTTTACAGATACGAAGTTCTACGCCCTCATTTATTTTTCTTTAAGGGCAGGCACCAAGACACGCCCACTTTCTCCCTTTTCCACTTCTATATAAATACACAACGCCGTCCTTTGTGTTTTTTTTTTTTGCCCGTTTCCTATCTGAGGCATTCGTGTCAGATTTCATTCGAACTTCCGTCGTCCCACATGAAACTCTCTTGGCACGAAAGAAAAGTGTAGAGTTCAGAGAATGCGCTTCGGCTCGAAGCAGAAGACCTCAACTTCTTCAAATCAGAATCCGAATTAAGCGTCGGTTGTCTCCTCCGCCGACTTCTCTGCCGTACAACGTTAGCTGAGAAGCTGTCGCGCGATGTACATTTTCAACGATGCCTGTCTCTGTCTCGCGGCTCTGTTAGCCCCTCGATTTTTCCTTTTCTCCCGTTCCTTTTTGGATTCAGCTAATCGTGCTCTCAACTTCCTCGCCTCTTCCTCTTCTCTTCCCTCTTTACCTTCTTGTTTATAATTTCCTCGGTGTCCTGTTCGCGTAATTCTTCTTCTTCTTCAGCATAATCTTGTTCATGGGTCGTAGGGTCCCCCGGTGCGGTGCCCCGCTTCGCACGTCGCCCTACTGTCTTTCTGCCTTGCCTGCGGAGCCGAGGAATTCAGGAAGGACATGTTTATTAATGAGCACTCCCCACTCCGAGTGTGTTACCATAACTGTCTTGTAACGTCTGCAGGTCGGTTATTCTCTCAGGAAAGCCTTTGCCAGCGTGAAAACAAATAAAGAAGACAAGCACTGTTACTGTGGCAGTCAAATGGAAGACTAGCCTGGAAAATAAGTTCATGACGAAGAAACTGGATAATCAAAGCAACGGACGTTATTGAGGGGAGCCTCCTGTGGCGTTAACTTCGCGTCGAAAGTCGATGTGTCATGGTGACAGGAACTTCGGAGACGCTGTCGCATTCGTCGGGCTCTGCTGTCAGCGAACAAATTGATTAATATTTTAGGGAAGTGTATTTGTTATATGAGGCTGTTTCACTACCCATGATGCTGCAACCATCTACGCTGTAAAGGAGAGACTGATAGAGAACAACTAAGGAAATGGCAAAACGGTTGACAAAATCAGCATCCCATTTGCTTCCCTGCATTGAAAGTAAGCAAGGGAAAGTAGTGCTTGCTATCGAAAAAAAAAAGTGCTGTCTTATGGGGCATATCAGCAGTAATTACGAATTGAAGGGGGAAGATCTGGAGACGGTTAAAAATACTTGTAATATTTTTCGTGCTTTACGTGTGCAACTCAAGATATTATTATGAAGCACGTCGTGGTGGATGGCTCCAGATTGATTTCGGCTGCTTAGATTTCGTTAAAGCAATCCCACGAGTGAAAATACGGACCGTAGGAGTGCGTGCTGAAATTGACGTGTGCGTCGTTTTGCAGTGAGCCATCTGCTGTTGAGGCATCGTGCTGTCGAGGGCGTTCCTCGGGTGAATTCAGCCTTAACAGTACTCTCGACAGCAGAGCCACTAGAAGGCACAGACGGCAATTTCGGGACGCACTTCCTTAGATCGTGTACTTTTTCTCACAGGTGTACATGGATATGTGCAGCCACCGATTTTCAGGGGCGAAGCTCCTTAAGGCGTGGGTCGATCGTCACCTGTATGTATGCATGTACGCAGTGTCCACCTCACAGCATATCCACGGAGTGAATGATGATGAGTGCGGCGAAGCTTCCGAGGGTTGTATCGGCAAACCATGAATCATCCGCTAGCCACGTTCGTTCGCCGTCTGTCTGTCTGTCTGTCTGTCTGTCTGTCTGTCTGTCTGTCTGTCTGTCTGTCTGTCTGTTTGACGCACGGACGGATGGACGCATGGACAGCCGCACGGACGGACGCACAGGCTGATGCACGGACGAACGCACAGATGGACAGAAGTATGGACGGACTGGTGGACGCTTCGCCCCACCCACCATCATTCACTCCGTGGATTTGCTGAGTGTTTTTAAAGCTTGAACGCGCGAGCATCGAACAAATATAGTCAACTGCTGCGGTCATCCTGGTGTACAGTTTCTGGAACAGTTTAGCAAAGTACAGCTGGGCAAGACAGAAAGGAACAGCTGGACATTGCAGGGGGGATGCACGTATTATCGTTGATTTTGCCGCTGTGCTCCGTTAAGTGCACTTATGGACTGGGTGATAGACACTGGGGCGTTCAGGTTAAAAAAAAATGAGAGTGCACATGGGTGTTGTTACACTATGACAGCACCGAAACGAGGCCGCCCTGACCGGGAACTGCGCCCGCGTCCTCGTGACAACTTACATGCTCAGATAAAACAGTGGATGGAGAGCGGGATCACCGTACACTCACTGAGGGTGCCATGATCACCGAGGCCCGCGTTTTCCGGAAATCGGTAAACAACGCCGTATCGGTTTGAAGGGTGTATGAAGACAAGCTTAGGGACTTATAAGGCGAATAGTTTAAACGTGAGTAG